AAAATATATTTCACATGTATTTTTTTTGTAGTAATATAAAAGAACTAACTTTTGTCTTTCAGGTGGTGATTATACCTACTTTGGAATAAAAGATGGTATTTTGAGAACTATTTTTAAAAAAGATCTAGATTTTGTTGAGTTTGTATTCAACATTAATGGCCTCCCTATCCATAAAAGTACAAATGCTTGCCTCTGGCCAATTCAATGTCGTGTTGATAATGTGCGTGAAAACAGTCCATTTGTTGTGGCGTTGTTTTGCGGTGTACAGAAGCCAACTAGTTTGGAATTCTTAGAAGAGTTTACTTTAGAGTTAAAATTCCTAATGGCAAATGGCATTAATGATTATAATGGAAAAACCATACAAGTAAATACGAAATATTTTATCTGCGATGCGCCAGCAAAAGCTTTGATTAAAGGCACTGCTCACTATAATGGTCGCTATGGTTGTGATTATTGTAATGTAAAAGGAACTTATGATGGTCGAATGATGTTTTTATACACTGGTACTCAGCGCACTGATCAGACATTTAGAGAAAAAATTCAGAAAAGTCATCACAAGTATATCAGTGTCTTGGAATCACTTGAAATAGACATGGTACAACAGTTCCCTCTTGACGTGATGCATTGTGTGGACCTAGGTTGTACTAAAAAACTACTGTTAACTTGGAAGGAAGGCCCGCTTCCTTTTCGATTGTCATCAGGGCAAATTACTTTATTAAGCACTTACTTATTTTCTTTAAAAGAATACATTCATATAAAATTTAATCGTAAACCAAGAAGTTTGAAAGATCTCAAGTTATGGAAAGCCTCTGAATTTAGAACTTTTCTTTTATATTGTGGACCAGTAGTTTTGAAATATATACTCAGCAAAGAAAAATACAACCACTTTCTTTGTTTAAGTGTAGCTATTCGGATCTTATACAGCAAAGATTTGATGACTGAGTATAAAGGTTATGCTCAAGAGTTTCTTAGTAGCTTTGTGGACAACACCAGACTGCTCTACTCCGATCATCTATTAACTTATAATTTTCATTGTTTAAACCATTAAACTTTAACAGCAGAGAGATATGGTTGTTTAGATGGAGTGACAGCCTATCCATTTGAAAACAATATATCAGCTATAAAAAGAATGATACGGGGTCCTTCTAAAGTAGTAGCTCAGATTGCTGGACGACTCACAGAAATAAACAATAACAGGTCAGCAGTCTGTAAAAAAAAGCTAAATTTTAATCCAAAGATCAACGAATGCTATCGTCTGAAGAGCGGAAATTTTTGTGTCATTGACTCAATAAATAGTAATGCTAAAAGTGTTCTTGGTCAAGTCTATATCAGAACAGAAAATTTATTCAGCTCTCCTTGTAATTCTAAACTTGTTGGTATTTACAAGGTTAACAACAAGCATACAGAAATGTTGTATATACCTTTTGATGATTTTGTATCAAAGGCCATAAGAATACCGCTGTCTCTTTTTGAACCTGATAATCTAGCAGCAGCAGTTATTTTATCACTTGTGCACAGTTGAAATGCTCTACAAGTTAACTAACCATATTTGGTATTCGTTAGATGCTAAATGAGCTATAAAGTGCTTTAATGATTTTAAAAATGGAACATTCAACATTTGTAAATTTATTTGTAATTAAATTTTAATGCCTCTTTGTATTATTTTGATTTCAATTTTTTTGATAAGTCAATATTTATGCTTTTACTCATTTACCTTGAATAAACTCAGTTACTTTACCCCCTTTAAAAGTTTACTATAATCCCTTACTTTACTACACCCGCTTTTTCAAGGACCTATTTTTTATAAATTAAATTTTTTTACGAAATAGGCAATTTCTTTTAATGAGCGAGTTTGCTCCCCCTCCCCCCGCCCTCCTCACTTTGAAAAAGTGTTTTTATAATCAAAATAATTATTAAGTAAATAATAGTAATGATATCAATACGTGATTTCATTTTGATATCATAAACTACTCATTTTATATCAGGTTTTAAGTTCAGAATGATATCAATGATTGATTATTTTTTAATATCAAATTGGTATCATAAACTTCTCATGTTATAATATCAGCCTTTGATTTCAGAATGATATCAATGAGCGATTTCATTTTGATATCTTATTGATATCACAAACTTCTCATAGTATGATATCAGGTTTTGAGTTCAGAATGATTTCAACGAGTGATTTCATTTTGATATCATATTGATATCATATATTGATATCATAAATATCAAAGTTTGATATCATATTGATATCCGTATGATATCAAATTCGTGACTGGGACAAGGGTCTGTACTTAGTCCAACATTATTCATCATCTACATAAATGACTTAACGGATAATTTTAAATCAGTTCATAAAATCTATGCTGATGACACTAAACTGTTGCAAGAAATAAGACCTGAGTTTCACGATGCTGATTGTCTGATTCTTCAAAATGATTTAAACATTATCTCAGAGTGGTCAAAAGAATGGCTTATGGAATTAAATGCTGCAAAGTGTAACATTATGCACCTTGGTCATGGAAATATAAATCATGAATATGTAATGAATGATGGTAATACATCTCTTATTATAGCGGCAACGGATATTGAAAGAGACCTGAGTATCTTTATATCTAACGATCTAAAATGGAATCAACACCTACAGGTTGCGACACGTAGAGCAAATATGATACTTGGCCTACTAAAAAAACATTTAGATCAAGACATATTAAGCTTTGGGGTTAACTATATACTACATATGTTAGGCCGCACCTGAAATTTGCTGTTCTGGTATGGTGTCCTTACTTAAAGGGCGACATCAAAGAAAATGAAAAAATTCAGCTCAAAGCAACAAAAATTCCTCATGATATAACAAGTTTACCTTATGCTGAAAGGTGTCGGCGAATCAATTTTACTTCTTTGGAAACTCGCAGGCGACGCGGCGACTTGATCTAACAGTTTAAACTTGAAAACGGTTTTGAAATTATTAATTGGCATAATCCACCTCTTCGCAGATCACCATCCAACGTACTAACGCTTAATTTGACTTACAATAATGCTCGACATAATTTCTTCACAAATCGTATTGTGAATGATTGGAATTATTTACCGTTGTCATGCAAAAAGGCTCCGTTAAATAACGCATTCAAAAGTAGAATTGACAAGTATTTTTTTCCTACAGCTGCAAACAGTGCATCTTTACTGAAGATGAGCTGCACGTTTAATTTAATTAATTTGTGCTTTAGCAGCTACAAATATTGACTTTTTAGGTACATTTGTCATAAACGTAAAATGAAATGAAAGCAAAAAAATAATAATAATAATAATAATTATAATTGAAAAAAAAAAAAAAAAAAAAAAAAAAAATTAATAATAATAAAAATAATAATAAATAAATTAAAAAAAAAAAAATAATAATAATAAAAATAACAACAACAAAAAAAAAATAGCAATAATAATAATAGTAATAATAATAATAACAAAAAAAAAAAAAAAAAAAAAAACATAAATAAAAAAAAATAAATAAATAAAAATAAATAAATAAAAAAAAATAAATAAATAAAAAAAAAAAAAAAAAAATGCTTTTGTTTTTTAATCTGTTTATTGGATTGTTTTTTTTATTTATTTGTCATGTAATCTTTAAAGACTTATTTAAATATATTACTATTACTATTACTAAAAAATTTAATCTTAAAAAATTCATTTCTAACGAAATTCAAAAAAAAAATTGTTTAGAAAAAATAAAATGTTTATTCAAAACATTTAAAAAAATCGTAAGTTTAATCATAAAAATTAATCGTATGAACATTATAAAATGCTTTAAAACTTTTTCATTAAATCAACAAAATACATGCTTATATAAGTAAATAAAGATATTTTATATTCTTGTGTAATTCACATAAAATGTGTTAAAGTTAGTAGTCACAAATGCTTTTGAACTTATTTACAAATAAAAGTAACTTAAAAAAATTCTTTCTAAAAATAATGGTTTAAAAATGTTTTAGGAAGACATAAGAAAATAATTTCAAACGTTTATATTTATCATAAAAAATAAATGCCTACATAAAAAAAACTTATTAATAACGTTTTTTATTAATTTACACAAGCGTTTATGTAAACTATAACTATAACTAATTTTATGGTTTTATTTAAAGCCTTTGCTTAAAATAAAAAACTTTAGAAAAGATCAACGATTAAAAGATATTTATAAAGTAACTTTTTTTATTGCATTCAAATTGTTAAAACATCAAAATAGCCGTGGTCAAGGTGTAAAGAAATAAAAATATTAGCGTGGTCAGTTACAGAGTGCGATCGCACGCCATTCCTGTCCAAGCTTGCCATATCCTGCACCTGCACACATTTTTGAAATTAGGGTGTGTTAAACCATCATAACCATATCCTGGACCAACTTTAATATAAATCAATCATTGTTGCTGGTCTGGAATAAAATTATAGCAACTTTTTGTATAAAAAAAATTACGGTTTGCTGAAAAAAACACATTCTTTGTTGAAAGAATATTTTTAGGTTTAAAATGGTGGTTTGGCTACCCCTGTAGGTGGAAGGTGTTATAAATTTGTAGCCCACTGTTACACCTATCTTTTGATACCAAGTTTTAGTTATTTAGATAAGAATTGACAAAATTATAACAATTTAAGTAAAGTAAAATTAAATTTTAACCACAATTTCTTCAATAAATCCGTATATCAAAAATTTTTGACTAAAAACGCCATAACTTTTTGTAGAATAGTTTGATTTTAATAATTTTTTCACCATTAAAATACTATATTATAGCCCTTTTCAATGATATATAACAATCTAGCTTTTGATCAATTTAAAATTTCCAATCCACATACCTACATAATGACTAATTATAATATTGATTAATCTTATGCATTATTTATTAAAAAAAAATTTAATATAGTAAAGTATTTCTTGTTTTTTTAATTATTATTTTGTGTATAAGTGCTAATTAATATTAAATATACCTTATAAATATAATGATAGCTACAATAGACTTATTTTCAAATAAATTGCTAATATTCCTGCTATTTTATTTTTCAGATTCATAATATATTTAAAATAAAAAAGTGGCAAAAATCAGAAAATCTATCAACACTAAGCTTAGCGAATATCTTGGAGATCCAAGTAAGTTTCTTTATACTGAATTTCCAACATTACGTCATTGTTTGCAGCGATGTCTTGATCTGCAAAGAGAAAAAAATACTAGTTCATGAAAAAAATCCACGTAATTTATCTATGCAAGAAATTTTTTCTAATGTTGCCCAGAGTTGAAAGAGCCTATAGTTTGTGGTACTAAAGCTATATAACTAAGGCTCAGTAGATGTTGGTCTGTATTCTCTAAAATAGCTCGACACAAAGCCCAAAAGGCTAATAAAAAACACTGGGAATCTAAACTAGATAAACTTTTAGACGTTACTTTTTGCAAACTTAAAGTTGTTTACTGCGGTGAGGGTGATATCCCTTGCAAAGAATCTTGTGAAATTCAGATGGCATGAAGCAGTTTGTAAACTGTTTTCTAAAGTTTATAATCTTGTAAGAATTTTTATATTTACGCCAATTCCTTTTTCAGAGCCTTTAGTTAATATCAGTGAAGATTTTGCTAAGCAAATGAGCACTGACATTTTAGTTGCATAGAAGTATTTAAATGCAATATTAAAAGGAAACCTTGATCCTGAAGTAGCAGCTCTTAAATGTGGTAGATTGTCTTACAGTCAATTACTTACTTGTGGCATGAGATGCTTGCTTCTATATATGAGCAAACGTGATCTAAAACCTGAGAATGCAGAGGGTCTTAAAGCTCCTTGCAACTTGGATGACACAGGTTTATCTTCTAATGTTTTTGGAAGTTAAAGTAAGTCATGGCAGTACGAATCTGGTTATCTTTTAAAGCTATTTTGACTTTGGCGGAAGAAGATGATAAGGTTAAAAAGCCTCTAAACTTTATCTAAAAAGTGAATCTTGGTGGGCTCATCCTGAGAATATAATTGTTGTACTTCTCTGTTCTAATAACTCAGAACAAAGGTCATTTGCAGTCGACATTATATAAGCATTCAGGGCCGGAAGTGAACATGGCTCTATGGATGTGAGATCTTTTAAAGTTCCACAAACAATAAACCTTGATGATTTTGAAATCAAAGAACTTACTATTTGGAAAAAAAAATCTTTACTGAACCGGTTTTCACAGCAAATTTGTCATTAGCCCAACTCAATGCATTGAGAGCTTCCTATATATTTGTTGCCAACCCAAAGTTGTGAGAGGGCAGTCAAATTAATTACCGACGCAGCTGATTCAGTCTGTGGTTGGTATAAAAGATAAGGTTTTGTACAAACTCAATTGCAAAATTGAAAAAAAATGCCAGTGACGAAATCAAAAAAAGGCTTTGTTTCTTTTTTTTTTTTTTTTTTTTTTTTTATTTATTTCGTCAGTAAAAAAAAAGAATACAATGCCGTGTAGTATAAATAAGATCTACATGACCGGGATTAAAAGATGACAATACTTGCTTTATCACTACACCCCGACGTGCTTTCATAAGCAAGCGTGTACAACCATTAAAAGTTAAATATACAATTACTTTGTGCTATTTAAAAAATTATATGCAATTATTTACAAGTATGTTAAGACTAGTTACTAATCTATAATTAAAAGAAAATAGTAAAAAGAAATTAAAAAAAAAAAAAAAAAAATCAAAACTATAGATTAGCTAATAGGATTTAAGTGATCAATGCTAAAAAA